AAAGGCAAAATTGAAATTGGGTATGGGCATAGCAGACGAGATTCACAAAGAATTTCGAAAAAACAAACATTACCTCAAAGTCAAAGTTTTTGATAAAGATGAAATTTGGTCAGCCGATTTAATCAACATGCCAGTCGAGAGAGGGTACAAGTATTGTTTGACGGTGATCGACATATACAGGAGATACGCTTGGGTCTTTCCCTTGAAAAACAAAACGGGTCTAACTGTCAAACAAGCATTCGAAACCATAATGAAACAATCCGACAGACGACCCCTAAAGTTGTGGGTTGATAAAGGAAGCGAATTCTACAACAGAAATGTGAAATCTCTGGGGTTTGAAATTTACAGCACGCATAACGAAGGTAAGGCTGTAGCGATAGAAAGATTCAACAGGACTCTTAAAAGCAAATTATTCAAGAAATTCACGGAATTGAAATCTCAAAAATGGCTTAAAATATTACCAGTTGTTGTCGACGAATACAATAACAAAATACATTCGTCTATAGGTGTGACGCCAACGCAAGCCTCTAATAACCCGAATATCATAAAGTCCGTCAACACTCGAAACAACTTTGAAAACGAGATTAGCAATTTGAATATTAAACCCGAATTTAAAGTTGGAGATCGAGTTCGTATTTTTAAATATAAATCATTGTTTCAGAAAGGTTACGTCGGGTATTGGACTAACGAGATATTCATCGTTGATAAAATAAATAGCACATCACCTCCCACGTATGAATTGATCGATCAAGACAAAGAACAAATCATAGAAAGGTTTTATCAAAATGAACTTCAAAAAACTGACTTTTAAAAATGAATCTCGAAAATGAAGATTTAGATGAAAGGTTAAGAAATTTAGATGTCGACAAACATTTACGCTTTCTTAAATTAAGATTTTTTAAATTTAAATGTAAATTTATCTTCAAAATATTATTGAATGTGTTTTATCAGAATGTTCTACAAGTTTTTTTCAAACACAAACTACGTATATATTTCGTCAATTGGGTCTTCAGCAATACTTACCGCCTACTTCGAAAAACACCTAAAAAAATCAACTTAAAAAATGAATGCATTTCTCGATAAATACGGAAAAGACACGACCACAAATTTTCAACTTGTGAAATGGGAGTTGAACGTCTCGCCGTTTTATTATTGCATGCGAGATGAAATTGATGAACTGAAATACAAGAAAGGTAAATTTTACGCGATCACAAACATTCACACGTCGGATCAAAAAGGAGTTCATCACTCTGCTCTACACAACGATTCTTCGAATAACTTTTATTTCTTTGATTCTTTCGATCTAGAACCGACAGAAGAGATAACGAAATTGACTAGCAAACCAATCAAATGTTCTACGTTTCAAATTCAAATTCCAGGACAAAAGCTGTATGGACAGCTGTCGCTTTGGGTTTTATATCGGTTGAGTTTGGGAGAAAAGTTTGAAGAAATTATAATAAATTTAACTCAATAAAAATGGCAAACAAGTTTGGATTAGGGTCTTTCCCTCTAGAATCTAAAAATCCCATGAGTTCTGTGGCGTTTATAAACAAAGCGAAACCTTTTTTCGTGGATCAAATCGGAGACACCTTACAAGGGGATATCGATATGAACAATTTCAAAATAACTAATTTAAAGTTTCCAGGAAACTATAACGATGCCGTGAACAAGAAATATTTACTGGATCAAATTCAAATAGATAAGGACCATGTTGAAAATAAAATAACTGACGTGAAAAGATACCTCAGACGAAATATTAAAAATCTTGTGGACGAACCCAAACTACAACAAGAGTTAACGAGTTTGAAACGTCTTATTCAAGTGGATAAAACAAGTCAGTTGCAAAATTTAATATCTAAATTAGACGATGAGATTACGAGGGTAAAAATAGACGTCCAACGTTTAATAGATAACCCTAATGTAAACGAGGATAGATTGAAACGAAAACTAACCGCTTTGGAAAGAAAACTTGGCGAATTGCTAGCAGAACTAGACAAGACCGTGGACAAAACCGAGTTACAAAATTCAGTATCCAAATTGAACGAAAAGATCGCGAAGCAAAAATCAGATGTTCAAGATATAATTAACGCATTTCCCATTGACAAAGATACGTTGAAACGACAATTGACTGCTTTGGATACTAAAATCACGGACGAATTAGATTTTTGAGACGATTTTTTGAGACAAGAGAGAAAGTTGACCAAATTAGAAGCTATTGTCACGGACAAATCGTATTATTTCAATCTTCCATTCGAAAGTGACACTGTCTTCGATAGAAAAGACCAAAGTTATAAATCAAACAAATACGGATTCAAAGCAGAAATAAAAGTGGGTGCTCTCATAGACGGAGAACCTAAAAACGTATTCGATATCGGCGAAACGCAATGGTTTACTTTTCGAGGTAATTGTCTGATTCAAATAGAGTTTCCCATGAAGGTTAAAGTCAATAAAGTAGTCTTCAAACAAACCGGTAGGACCATCGCCCATATTTCATTATTCAATGAAGGTAATTTGGAAGAGAATATACGTTTGTTTGATAAAAGGAATCATGAAGTAGACACCTTTAAATTGGAAGTAGAAAATTTTAAGGGTATCATTGGAATCAAAGATTTGGATATGATATTGGAGACGGAAAATCTACCATCAACCAACATTGTCAAAATTCCATTTTTAATTAGAATAAACACACATCCACCAATAGAATCGAACACTCACGAGTTTTTACGAACAACACACTTTGAATACGTAAAACTGTATTTCGCTTTAGGTGAAAAATACACCTCGGTCGATGTTCATAAAAGTCAACAAGAACGAGAGTTTGTAGTGCATTTAACGTTTGCCGAAGGTTCCGACTCCATCCTTAACTGTGGTGGTTTTATTTGTAGAGCCAAGATAAACATCGAAAAAGAAAAAATAAAATATTCCTATCATCTTAAAGAGGACCATACGTAAATGTTTTTATTTTTGATACCCGCGAATATAATAATGCTAGGCCAAACAACAACGTTCTATACGATATTCCGTGGTTCTATTTATCGGAAATTCTTGAATATGTATCTTAATCAATTGTACATAGAACATAACAGTTGAAGAATTAAAAGAATTCAATGAAATTCTGGACAAATTCCATACAGAAATATCAGCGGTCAAAATAAAGAAAAAATCAAAAATATATAATAAAATCGAACTTGCAGATGACGAAACATTGATAGAAAACGCCCTATTTTCTGATGTTATCAAGGCTATCACTGATAAATTTAAAACATTCAATGGACAAATTAAAATAGATGGAGAGATAGTCGAGGAAGGGAATCACAAACAATACATGGTACTCCTCGGTTTCAATGCCAAAACTTTTCACAATATCTTTTCAAATATGGACAAAAAATCCGATGCTTCCGATTGGTATTTTACAGGAAAAATAATTTTAATGAAAGACAATTTCCAAGAAATAAAAAGAGAGAGAGGTGTTAGAGGAGGAACTGATCTACTTAAAAAGATAAATGAATACGAAGGCGAAAATTGTTACATACCTACAGATGGTCACTGTTTTATCAAATGCGTCAATCGTGTTTTGAACAAAGATTTAACGTGTAAATTTCAAGAATACATCAACGGGTTTTCAAAAGCAAATAGAAAAGGAGTGATGACTTGTGCTAGAATGAAGGAATTCAACAAGAAATTTAACACTTCGTTTCAAATTTATAATCCCAAAAACAGACATTTTCATCCCAGAGACGTACACGATGAATTAGATTGGGTTTTTTACTTACACAACTCGCATTTCTGTTTGATTAGAAGAAGCCAAAAAAGTTTGGGATTCAAAAAATAGAAGACAATTACGAACAGGTGTGGAAAACGTGTAGAGACGATAACGCAGTAACACAGGTTTCACCTCTCAAACTAAACGTGCTTTCGAGTATGAGTGATGATGCGTTATTCGCTTGGGATTGCGAAACGTATTCAGAAAAAAACAGTCGAAGAGCAATTCCTAATGCCTGCACTTTAATTAATTTAGAAAAACTAAGAAATATTTGTAGGTACAGATTGTATAGATCAAATGTTGAAATATTTAGGTCAATATGATAGAAAGAGATTAATATTAATTTCTCACAACGGCAGTGGATTCGGCAACTGGATCGTGCTTAAAAATACAAAAAAACTAACGCATTGCCCTTTAAAAACACCCAGAGGAATTCTATCTTTTCCTTTATCTAATCCATACACAGATGAAGATTTACAGAAAAAAATGGAAAAGACAGAAAGAAATAAAGGGTAATTATTTACAACATATTAATTTCACGTGTTCCTATCAACACGAATCCTCTAGTTTGGCTGCATGGGGAGATTCTTCCAATCTCCCCGCGAATTTGAGAAAGATTGCCGACGTAGATATCGCTAAATACACCCAAGACAACTGGGAGGAATTGAGACACGAATGGGAACCTTACGCCAAGAGAGACACTCTCTGTTTGGGAGCTTGTTTGCTAAAATACAACCAAGTCATGAAAGAAGTTGTAAACCAGAATATATCCAATAATCTAACGGCTCCATCTTTATCTTTAAAGGGTTGGTATTATTTATATCATTACGATAAAGAAATGGTTGAAGAAGAATGGTATGAAACTACTAGAATGGTTGCGAAACATACCGAAAAAGAAAATATAGAAAAAGTTTATTCGCACACTAATCCTTTTATAAGAAATTTTATCAGACGATCTATTAAAGGAGGAAGAGTTTCGGCAAATAGAAAATCATTTGAAACGAACAAAATGGATGAAATTTGTAACGTATTAAAGGAATATACAGAACTTGAAAGTAATAACATAATTGATTTATTCCAAGAATACAGCGCAAGCACAAAAGACAAAACGGAGGTTCATTTGAGACTTAAAAAAATAGAATGTACTAAACTAATGGCATTTGATGCTAACGGTTTATAGGCTTCCGCCATGTCGGATTTAGACATTGATTATCCGAGAGCGGAAAGTGGAAGACGGTTTCTACCAGAAGAAGAAAAAGAATTTGTAAAACTCTTCAATAAACAAAAATTCAGACCTAGAACAGCTATTTTAACAGTGTGGTTTGAGTATCCCAAAAACATGTTTTCTTCCAACCGATACCAGCTAAAGATAAAATCACTTTCACGAATAAAGAAGGTAAAAAGGAAACTGGCACTAAAATCAGGTTCAGAAATGGTTTCTGTCACGACGTATTAACATCGGTCGATATTCAAGAAATAGTGAAAGCCGGTGGAAGAATTATTAGAATATTAGATGGTATAGTTTACGAAGAAAATTTTAAAACTCCACCCTATAGAAATTATATTTTAATTTTGAGAGATCTAAGAAATAAATATAAACGAGAAGGTAATATCGTGGGTAGTAATTGCATGAAATTATTAGGTAATTCCTTGTATGGTAAATCAATTCGGAAAGATATATTCACAACTAGACATTTATGGAATGAAGCAACTTTACAGGCCAACTTTGATTCACGTGTTAAAACCTATGAGAAAATTAATGATACTCAATATATTGTTGAAACAGAAATTGAAGAAAAAGAGATTACTACCGAAGATAGTAAATCTACACGACTAACACCTAGTCATTTGGGATCATTCGTTTTAACTCACAGTAAAAAAATAATGAACAATATCATTCACGTCATAAATGGATTTTATAAACCCGAAATATACTATACCTACACCGATAGTTTGTACATTTCGTCCAACAATTGGAAAAAACTAAACAGAGCTGGTTTGGTCTCCGAAAAAGACTATAGCAAAGGTAAAAACGATTGCGGTGACGGTGGAATTATATTTGGTTTATACAGTTTGATGTGTCGAACGAATTTAAGAAACCATGGGAAAAAAGTTTCACCAATGGAGTAGTTATTCCAAATGATAAGCAAACTAAAGTTTTTAGAAGTTATTTGAATCATGAAAGAATTAACTGGTAAATAGGTCGTTTGAAACGGTTTCTCTATAATTCTGTATCCGATCGGCACCGTAAAAGTCGGTATGCTGTATATGATTTGGCGTTTGTGCTTGTTGAAAAATCCACCGTTGATCAAATTACAGTGAATGTTGATCACGTCAATGTCGTTCTCGATGTTGGCCTTGTGCGGCGCCAATGTCGATCGCGCGTATATTCGTTTATCGAACCCTAGTAACGCATTCAACGAATTTTCTACGTTGAAATCGACTTGACTGTTATTTCTCAAGATCAGTTTTATTTTGTTCAGATTCAAATTACTTTCGAATTCGATATTGTTTTTACCGTTCACGCTTCCTGCGTATTCGGATAGGTAATCGTTGATGGCTACGTATTCGTTGCTTTCCGGCAGTAAGCTTATGATTTTGAACGTAACTCCGTTATCCGTCGTTATTTTTAGTTGATTGTTGTTTTCGTTGATGTTTCTAATGGAATTGTAAACGGAGAAATACTTTAATCCCAGTTCGTACTGTTTATTGCGATCGAGTTCATACTCGTAGTCTAGAGACAATTTGATGTCTGGTTTATTCGAGGTGATAACGAACAATTGCTCTTTATTGGACATTTGTAATGACGTTTATATAGTCTTTTTTAGTGATGATTTTTTTCTCCAAAAGTCGTTTTAATATGCCATTGACTTCGTTGTATTGTCTGCCCGATCGATGACCTTCCTTCATGGCCGCTAATATTATTTTTAATCTATTAAGCAATTCTTTATTGTTGTCGGATAAAAACGTTATACCTTGTCCAGATGTCACCATATTTTCGAATTCGTCTATATCTTTTGTGATTTGTGGATAATCTTCTGCATAATCATCTTCATCGTCTTCATCATGTTCAATTACTCTTATATATAGTTTAACTTCTTTCGATCTTCTTGTTTCGGGCCCTGTCTTTCTGATCGCATGTAGAAATTTTGAGTATGCTGCTAAATCCTTGTAATCGGCAATTTCAACGTCCTCGCCATTCATTAAATCTATTAATCCTCTCGTTAATGTGTATATGTAATCTTTTGTATCGATTATAAATTCGGGGGTATTTGCCCTAAATCTTATTCTAAAACCATTGAACAACAAACCCGCTTCATCAATGATTGGTGAAATGCTTTTTGGTAATTCTGGGCTAGGGTTTGAAAAAAGACTTTTTACATCATCTACTGTCCTAACTATAACACCACTATATTCAATCGCTTTGGGGTGATGAGGTGTGGGTTCTATACGAGGCGTGGGTTTCTTAAGCTAATTTCTTTTTAATATCTTCTTGAGATTTTAATATGGGTTGAAATAGAGTCTGTAGATTTTCCGTTAATCCGAGTTGTTGTAATCTGTTATTTTAAACTTGGGTCTTTATTTTATTCTTAGCTTTGATATATTCTCTATTTCTTTTTAAAATATTATTCCAATCCGTCATTTTTAAAAAAAAAAATTTAACAAATGTCTGTCATAACTCGCAAATAACAATTTGCGTTCTTTCTGATAAACATGGCGTCCATTCCGTAGAAAGATTGGGATTCATATTTGCAGTGACAGTTGTGATGTCTTCCTTTCGTGAAGAATTCTTGTTGAACGGTTTGACTTTTTTGTGCCACGCAGTCGTCAAAGACAATCAAGTTCTTTCAGTGGTTGTCGATTTTAGTCAAGTCTAAATCGTTGACGTTTTTAGTCAGAAACACTTTGACGTCGGTCGGTTTCAGAAAAGGATTCTTTTCTTTGATAAAGCCGTCTAAAATGTCTTTTATTTCCTCGTTCTCTTGCAAGTCTTCGTTGCTTTCGTAGTAGTGAAAAATGTCTTGAACTTCTTCTTTCGAGATGTATTCCAAAGCTTTGAGAAACTGATAATAGGATTGTTCGGGAGTAGTCGTGTAAATATACAGAGAAATCTAAAAGCTTCGGTGTTGTCAACATGTTAAAAGTGATGTAAGTCTTTCCACAACCCGAAGATCCGCAAATGCGCATGAGCATGGGGTTGCTAGGAAATATGTCCGAATGTTTGAATTTCTTGCCTATTTTTAATTACTACATTTTCGTACCAAAAATCACGCCGTTGCCTTTATACTTTGAAAGAAAGATTCCCTCGCCCGAACGTATGTTTTTAAAAAATTTGGCGTTGCCCTTGTGTTTGACCTTCATTTCTCCGGTGTCGATATTATCTATTAATTTGCTTAATCCCTCTTTAACGGTTTTCTTGGCTTCTTCGCCAAATCTTTGTCCGAATTCTTTCACCGTCCCTAAAATATCTCCTACTCCCGAACCTCCTCGTGCTTTAGCTGCTTCTCTTTCCATTACCAAATTGTGTCTACGTTCTTCAGCTTCTTTTACTGCAGCTGCTTTATTTGCGTTGGCAGCTTTGACTGCGGCAGATATTCCTCCAGTAGCTGCACCAGCTGCAGCTAAATCAGAAAAGATTAAAGGTAATAAAGGTAAAAATCCACCTTTTTTAGTTAAATTCTCATCAATTCTTTCCAAGTCTATATTGTCTCTGACTTTGCAATGTTTGTATTTATCGATAATCTTTTGGGTTATATGCACTTTTTTTACCGTTGTAAGTTATTAGAGTCGGCGAATTCGTTTCCATAGCTTCTATTATTTTCATAACTAAAGTTTCTGGTTTCATTTTTAAAGGGTGTTTTTTTATTCAATTCTTATCATTCTTCTATCTGATATTTTAATCAAATGTTTTGCTTCTTCCAGCAATAAACAGTAGCTGGTCACATCTCCCTGTGTTTTATCGATGTGAATATTTATGTTTACCCCTGTTTTGAAAAGATCTTCTTGATGAGCTGACAGATCGAAACAAAAGATTGGATGATTGAGTGAAAAATCTGTGTATTCAAACTGAGGCGTATTTCCAAACAATTCGCACATGTTTTTATAGTTTCTGTACAATTCGTTGTAATCTTTTTTGGAAGGATCAATTGTCAAAGGTTGATTGGGATAATTATCGTTGTTCAATCTGACTTGAACTTTGCGAATGATGGGATCTTGAGTATGGTTCAATGCCACTCTGAAAATGTTGTTGTTGTTTGTCTGAGAGTCTGGCAAGTTTTTGAAACCGACCATTAGATATCTCGCTGGTTTGACGGTGTTGGTGATTGGCCACGTGGTGGATTCTCCCGTTAAAGTCATGCTACCTACCGTGTTACGACGAAGAAAAGCAATTTCGATGTCTTTGGTTAAAGAGTTGAATATTCTCGTTTCCACTTCTACGGAAGGAGTGATTACCGGTATGTAAAGTTGGATATTCGTTATTTCCAATTTTGCGTCAGAGTTGTTTTCACCAAAGAATATCTTGTTGTCGTTGATTTCTCTTTGCAAATGAATTTTATACGGTAAACCTATGGAAACCTTTCTGTGTTCCAAAAGACCAAATAAAGGATACAACTTCCAATTTACGTAATTACCCCATCTGTTGTTCTCGACAGCGTTCGTTTTTCAAATCCGTGATTTACTCCACGAGTCACTCTTTCCAGTGTGTTTCTAGTAACTACCCTTATCCTAGCAAGGTCTGCGTCATTTGCTACAGTTCTGACCGGTTCTTTTAAAACTTCTCCGTCATCGACATCGGGAATCCATCCCGAAACTGAATCGTAGTTTTTGGGATACAGAACCGTTTTCAACATTGTGTCAAACTCGCCGGGGTGTTTTATGGTCTCTATCGGATTTGAACCAGCTTCCAAAACCATTTCGCTGAATAAAGACGGAAAGAAGTTGTTTTCTAAATTCGTGTTGGTTTGTGGAATTCGATTCTGAGTGGAGTCTTTGATTTTGAAATCGCATCGGATGGGCATCGGAAAGCAGCAACCAATTGGACAACGAATTAATTTCAAAGGTAACTCTTCCTCCGTCGTTTATTTGGGTCTTTGTCCCTACCGATGGTGAGATGATTACGTAATCCTCTTTCTTCTTGTTGAACGAATATTGAATCGGATCATACAATTGAAAGATTGGATCCAATCTGTAATTTTTGCTTGCCATTTTTATCCAATGATTTTAAACCCTTTTCCTTGTTTTTCTAGGGCTTGTCGTTCTAGTCTCTTGTTTCTTAGTTCGTTAGATTTTCACTGCATCGCTAATATTTACTCCTGCTTTTGCCACAGATCCAAGAGCTTGCGCTTCTGAGGAAATGAGGGATTTGTTGTTTGAGACAAAGTTGGCCACTTTGGGGATGAGAGATGTTAGCGCAGAGAAGAAACCGTCTCCTTCGAATTTTTTTTGTTCGTGTTTTAAAATTAATGACATTTTTATCTTTTTTAATGCGGTTATTTTATACTGTTATAATACATTTTTAACATTTTGGGGAGTCTGTTATAATACAATTGTAACAGTTTGGGGGAGTCTGTTATAATACATTTAAACAGTTGTGTCTTTTCGGATATGACGCATGAAAAAGCTGCGCATGCGCAGAAGTGAAATGCGTCATATCCGAAAAGACATATACTACTGACGTACCTACAACTGAAAAATCGCAGTTACCACTAGGTTCCTTCCTTGTTGCTCATCATCTATCATTTAAATATGAAAATAAACCGATGAGCATCCAATTGATTGCCGTTGCTTGTCTGACGATCAGTTGATTTCTAAATACAATTGCTAAGCTCATATCGACGGCCACGGATCCAATGAGATCATTTGAAACGCCAGTAGAGCTATGCACACTTTTGAGCATCGTGTCCAAACCACGCCTCCATTCGCCATACTTCCTCGAGTTAGTAAGACCATGTCAAAATTCGAATTCCTGATAAATGACTTATTTATCTGTCTCCATTGAAGGCTACGACGGCATTTTTGATGCTTTTAGCAATGGATTCAAAGGAGGTTTTCCAGCCTTTCTGAATAAAACACACTAACAAGATCGGAAAAGCGAAATTTTTCATTTTCTAATCTAGGATGGCTGAGAAAGGATTTGTAGGTCTATATGATCGAGAAATGAAGTAGAATTAAAATCTTGTATTTTGCGCCAAAACGAAGTTCATTTCCATAATTGTTTTTCCACGATTCCAAATTCGCCTTCGCCACTGAACTTACTTCCAATGTGACAATCTTGCAGCTGGACACGAATGTTTGTTTATTAAAATTGAACTCATCATCTGTTCAAATGTCCTTTCTGATGTCACGAACAACGAAATATTATGCGCAATAACATAGGCTAAGGTCTCTTACCCCATTTTAAATAGAGATTTTGACAGTGTTTACTGATTTTAGCACCTCAAAGGTGATTTCAATAAGATCATTTCAACATTTCAGATCACAACCGGTGCTATATATTGGAAATGTTTGTACATTTCAAGGGTAGTGTTAGATGGTCATGAAAGCAGTGGCCAAGGTCACAAAGTAAAGATTTATGATAAAACAAAGTGCAAGTTAAAGGTTATGATAATTAGATATGTTAACTAAGGATGTCTCTGTAATACTATCTGTGGTAGTATCATTTCTTGAGCTGAAATAGTTGAAAATATAAAGAGTCAACATTCTTGTGATATATCAATAATCATCTAAAGATAAAACCTGTATTGTGAAACAAAATCTTTTCATGAATCCTTAAGAAATTAAGCATTAATATGAATAGTCATTGTAGGAAATTCAAAAGAAAAGAAGTCAGAAATTTTTAAGACTATTGAGGGTTTAGTCTACCATGGACTATTAGATGACTAAACAGCTACACATCTTGGAATAGGATTATCTATACTTCGCAATTAAATTCATATTTTATAGTAACTATGTCTTCGTAACATTGATGAATGTATAAATAAAATGGGAACATGTCAGGTTTGTTCTTGATGAAAATAATTTTCCGTTTCCATTTTGAATCCCTATCTCAACTTAATAAGTCGATTTTTTGAAACATAACTTAATGTCACAAAATCTCTGCTTTGAAGAGGAAGAACTTTGGCGGTGTCATCGTCCGTCTATAGAACTGAATTGGCTAAATTAAAAAATAAAAGGTAATAAAATTAATTAGAACTAGAACTGTACTAATAACAGTACTGATGCAGGGCGTGTTACGACATTCGGGTACATACGAAGTTGGTCTATTGCAATTACATTGATGTAAATACTTTTCTGCATCTCTAAATGCAAATATCTAAAAGTATTGGTATTTTAACGGACTTGTCAAACTCAGGAATTTTATCTATACTGACATCTCATTAACCAACTTAAATTTGGTACCACAATGTTAAACGAATAGAATTTTACATAGACATGTTGTATATCACTGGAAAGCTCAGAATCTCTGCATTGTGAAATCGAAAGAATTATTGCTACATCAATATTAGGCTACGAGATACAGCACTGCAAAGGTTCAAAATGGACCATTTTTAAACCCCTATAAAATCGAAAATAGTTGTCTGACCCCAAAGGTCAAAAGGTCATCAGATAGACATGGTCACAAATTATCATCATAGTAAATATGAAGGTCACCAAAGGTCAAGGTCATGAGATATACGCCTTCAAACAAATATCCGGTCGTACAAAAAACGCTAAACCGAAAATCAAAATTCTGTCCTCAACAAGTTTTAGATAAACGTTAATTCTATCATTTGACACCAAAATTGTTCAAATCGGATAATAAATAACTCCAAAATAGCAAGTTTTGCATATTGAGGCGACCTATATGTTACTTCCGGTACGTTTTTTTTTTAGTTATAACACTCTGTATTAGTGACACTAAGCTTATGCATAGTCATTTCTGACATAACTCAATTTCACCGGAAGTGATGCCACCGGAAGTACTAATATCGAAACCTGAAGTGATAAACATTTTTTGACTATGCAGACTTATTTGCCCATACCGACGGTCTACGCCATAAAAATTTCAAATCGATCGGTCAAAAAGCAACCGAAATAGCATTTTACGATTAATTTCGACAAAAAAAAGTATCGAACGAATTTTGGAAAATCGAATATTTTCAACTGCTATCAATCCTTTGTACTAAGAATTATAATAAAGGAAACCCGAGCAAAATCGAACTATAAATACGCTCTCTACAGTCCATTTCCGGTTTTTTGCTATCTTACTTCCGGTTGCGCAGAACATTTTTGTTTTACATTTAATACGTGAATAGCCACGAGTTAGAAAACGTCATGAAGTCCGTTTTGTCGTACCTATTTCTGGTTCCGAGAAATAAGCTCCCTAGCTGACGAAAAAAAAATAATCGTCACGAAAACAAAGCAGGTTCGAAGAACGCCCTGCAATGATATACAGCATGTTTATGCTTTCAGACGAGAGTACAGACTGTGAACAGAAGGTAGCTTTTCAACCTTATTCTAAACCTATACCAACAGTTGTAAATAATGGATCATCTACATGCAGAATTCATCCAACTTAGTCTTACATAACATAATTCATTAGGACGAACATGGACTGTTATGGTAAATTTAGTACATACATAGTAAAACATTTCCTGAATATTTGAAACCTTATTCGTTATATAAAAACAGAAAAATGATATACAGGATAGTATAGATTGTCGTGTGTTCTGTGATACTGTAACTATTCAGTTAGATATAACCACTTTGCTTAAATATAAAGAGAGGTAGGCTAGGTCGGGTGTTTGTTTATTTATATGGTCAATATAATATATTTCGTCCAAAACATTGTTCATTTCTGTTTGTATTTAATAAGGTAGTCTGATTTTGTTTTAGAAGCTAGGAAAGTTAATTAATCAAATTAATAAAAACTAGAAATGTATATTTAAACTCTAATGAAAAACAACAAAGATTAACAGAATAAACACTACTGAGCTGATCTAGACAAACTCCCATAATATCTAAATGAAGTATATGTTCCATCCTAGACCTGTATATTTTAGAGACTCTAACCTCCCTTCAATAGGAGAAGAGTTTCTAGTAATATAAATCCGTAACATACATACGATTTTTCATCCATCAAATTTCTCTCGCTTTAATCTATATTTATCTCTTGAGTCTCTTGTTTTACTCATTTGATACAAAAGATATACATATGCATAAGAATCATATATGCATAGGATAGACAATTGTCTGACAAAACAAAATAAGAATATAAGAATAAGAATGATAAGAATATCTAATACAAACATTGCTAAGGAAACAAAGACACAGATTATAAAATATTTACAACTAATCTTCAAAGTAGCGCTATCTTATGATAGTCTTTTATTGTTCATTTGTACTATTTCTAACTTCAATTAATTTTTACCTTTAAGTTGTCATAAACTATATGTCGTTACCATTGTTAATGGTTTGCCATTTATTTCTCTATTGTAGACCAACAATACTCATTATATTTTGATGATTTTCTAGTTTTCTTATCAGCTCAACATTTCGAACGACATATACCATCAGTTCGATGAAAAATCCCATTTCGAAAAATTTAAAGTAGCGATTTCGATCGAGTGTTCGCAGATTCTGACGGCTCACGTCAACGACAAGATTGAATTTCTACTAAAAAGTAAAACTGAGTTGAATGGAGTTGTTACGTCCTACTTTTCTGCACAATGTCAGCTAATTAAGATGGGCAACGCCATGCAGGGTACAATGAGGGAAAGTTTGCTCTTTTCCGATTTCTAAATGTCGAGGGATCTTTAACGTGCACAGCCTGTAGCACTCGGGGCCTCGGTTTAGTGTTCCATTCGAACGACTAGACGACTTTTCTATGTCAGCGCTATTACCTGTATCACTGACAGGGGGAAACCGGGCGGAAAAATCCTAAGGTATCATCTCGACCTATGCCCTGGACCTTAACGAGCAAGCGTCTAATTCACAGAGACACCGCGGCTCCCTACTAATACTAGAGCATGGGCAACATTAAGCAGATCTCGGCAATCCTCGACAGTTTCCGTAAGGCTGATTTGGCAATCCACTTCAGTTTAGGTAAAAACTGAATCTGTCTCGGGATGGTGAATTTCGTTGTATTTTCTTGGACGAGACTCTTTACTCCTGCCAAATAACGGCAATAACGACAATTCTTCGAACCATCGACACGATTCTGAGACGCAAGTATAATGCGAAAGTACCCGAAGGTAACCGCTTCCTATGTCCAGCTCTCTGATATCCTCGTCTTTAGTCTTGATTAGTCGAGAATTGTGGTATTCATGAATATGAATGAGAGGAAATGCCATATATAAAAGATGGTAATTCTCGTCTTTAGTTTTGATTGGTCGAGGAGTGTGGTATTCATGAATATGAATGAGGAAAGAAAATGCTATATAAAAGGTGGTATTACGAGTATATTTTAACAAACTTTACTAACTTACAAAGTCAGGAAAAACAGTAAGTTATCATATTTTACATCGCTGAAACCGTTCGGCTTAGGTCTTATTGTATATTGATGTGTTATTATTATTATTTTATTATTTATTTTCTATTGCTCGAAAAGCACTGAGTTGCAATGTCAGAGTTTGATACAATTCAGAATTGTGTAGTTTCATGCAAAGAATAGACTGAGGGGCTCATTATATTGCCATATAAAGTTTATTATCTAAGCTTAAATTGGGAACCTCAATGTAGCCTATATGCATTTGTAACGAAATTTAGAACAAAAATTGAACATTCCGATAGTATAACTTACAAAAGAAATCTAAAAAAGGTCTTAGAGGGACAAAAATCGTGCAAGTGTCAGTGTCAGAGAACGTTTAAATTAAATCAGTGATGTAAATTTTGTCAGCATCATTGTTTAGTCGGGTTTTCGCAGAGACGACACCTTCAATGTTTCGCAATGGTCGTGACAAGGCTTGCCATTTCGGTGCTACACAGCAGAGCGCAGTGTTTGAGGCCACGAAGTGGTACACTAATTTATGCGTGCTTACGTTTTAAACATTTCATAATCTTCTCTACGACATGGAATGTACCCCTAAACCTTTCATACACTCTCCAGGTTAGTTCACGAAGAATTACTGGCACGCCGATGAATTTAACGTTTATCACAAATCAGATCCTTTTATCCAATTTTCTTTGTACAATTTGTACTCAAAATAATAACGAACCAATATTATTCCGGATTAGTTAGTTAGGTTTTTTTTAAATATATGTCTGGTAAGACTATTCTAATGTGGCCTGTAAAGCATTACATAGTAGAGAACAACAATCATATCTTTTGACCATAAAATTATTTCAATTATGAATTTAAGCTATGTTACTTAGGCTGATAATACTGATAGCTGTGATCCCTGCTCTTGTACCATATGAAGAAGATTTTTACGAACGGGTTGTATCGGAGCATATTAAGTATTGTGGAGATGGTCGAGTTTGTAAGAAAGGATTGGGAATTAAATGCAAATTTTGTGAAGATTGTGATTGTGATGAACCTTGTTTTGAGATAGGTGATTGTTGTCCAGATAAAGATTTTGCTTTGAGACTATCTGATCCACCGAAAATTGGATATGAATGTGTGAGTTCACTAGTAGAAAGTTTGTATCCATCAGACATTTTCAATACAAGAAAAGATATTGAAGATAAATATGCCATGATAGTAAGTTGTCCCCATGAGGATTCCGATCTTCAATTTAACTGTTACAATTCTATAACTTTACCAGTTTCCTCTACCGGCAACTCTACAACTTTCAGAAATAAACATTGCGCTGCTTGCCATAACATCACCAACATTCGACCTTGGCAGATAACACTACAATGTATCGATTCCACTCCTAACGACTTTGATTCTACACCTGGGCTTATTGAGAAGGTCATTAATGACGAAACATGTACAGTAAAGTTCCAAGCACCAGAGGGTATGACAGAAAGAAAATGTAGGTTACCAGACAAAAATACAATATCGCAGTGTAATGTGACTGGTTTATGGCCTCAATATGATGAATTCCTAGAGAAAGCGTGTAAAAGTTACTTGACGATCGCAGACGATGAAAATCAGACATACAGGAATCCACTTTGTTTGAAATGTAATTTCCCTAAGCCTTATATACCAAGATGTAATGGTGTTAAACACATACCAGGACTAACTCCATCTTTTACAGCTTTATTAGATTTCAGTGATCTGTTACATGATAAAGATGAAGTGATTAAATCACAGTGTCCACCTCAAACTATATATGATCCAGGCAAGGTAAGTGACCAGTCTTTTTCAGGTTGACAGTGAGCTACAACTAACTCACTTACTCCTATGTAGTAAATTACCAAATTGTTTATTTTTTTTTTAAATCTCTAAAACGGGCACATTATTTGCTTCAATTGTGTATCTGCTAAGTAGTTGATAGTTTTGCATATCTACCCCGTTTCCTATTTTGATGAATGTCGAATTGTATGTTTAACCTGTTCTGAAAAAGGTCATTCTCTTTAGTCTATTCGAGCATCATATTGTCAACAGGCCAGAGGTCATTGTTGAAGAGGTGAAATATTCCAAGGTAATTATCCGAAGTACTACCGTAACTACCGGAGCCTGATGCTGTCAGACTCCTGGGCGTTTTTTTATGAGAAATTTGTCCATAGTTCCATAGAGCTCCGAACTGCTTCATTCTTCAAACATGATAATTGTTGAATTAAATTCGTGACAGACCTTAGACAAGGAAAGTGAAAGTAAAATATTCACTGGAACTGTTGATCATTCCGAGTGTGACACCAGACCTTATCCCCAGGCTTTTGGAACTGTTAGCCTTTAAACCTTAAACCTCATTTGCTCCATCCATCTAGAAAGATAGCTTGCCAAGCAAGGTAACATACGCTCACTACCAGCTGTCAGAAATGATAACAAAATCCTTGGTGGCTTAATAATGAATTTTCAAGTAATCTTAAAATCTTCTATAAGTCAAGGCAAAAACCTGAAACAGTTCATCAAATTATCATCAAATTCAAACAATGACTCATCGCTGTACACACAAGGACAACAACTCTGAAACTGTTCATCCGATTATTATCTAAGTCAAGGGCAATAACTCTGAAACGATTCATCCGATAATGCCAATTTCGAACTTGACTGGGATCCCATCAATATATATACCAAGTTTCATCAAGATCAGATAAAACCTATAGTCTTTATTGTGCCTAGCCATATTTGACATGTTTTTAATAAGTCAAGGCCAATAACTCTGAAACCATTCAAACTATTATTACCAATTTCGAACTTGACTGAGATCCCATCAATACATACATGCATACCAAGTTTCATCAAGATCAGATAAAACATGTAATCTCTATCTATTTTCAGTCAAGGGCAATAACTTTGAAACCGTTCATCTGAGTATTACAAATTTTGAACGTGACCGAGGTCTCATGAATATATACATGCATACCAAGTTTTATCAAGATTGCCTCTATCGCGCCTACAAGAAATGTGGACGGACGGACCGACCGACTAACCGACCGATGGACAGGGGCGACGGCAATATGCGTCCATATTTCTATGTGGGCGTATAAAAATAGTTCTTTCCCCCAAGTACCGCCATTTTATTTCTGAGAATTTTCAAAACAAGTTTTTTATACCCTAAAAATTGGTGTAAGAATGCACCAAAGGGGACAACCCCCTCCCTCTTTACAAATGGCGCTTCCAAAGTGCATCTGCATTTGGAATCTAACACAATAAAAGTTCCTTATTTCTTTCAGAAAATATGTCGTCAGATTACCTGTTCTTTTGGCCGGGAATTAATCAATGGTACGTGTCGATCATTCTTGGGTACATCAAGAGGTGCTGCTTATAAATTGTATTTTTGTATCAACCTAGATGATGAGATCTCAATATCTGGACGCGAACGTCTTGTATTAAACTTTCCAATCGAGCTTAAACACTATATATTTACTGACATAATTGACGTTCTATGGCATAAAAAAATGTTTGCTTACATTAGAAAAGGGCAGTATGGTACTTGTTCAAACTTCGTTAAACAGATCTTATTTTCCGCCACTTTCGTTACTACTCGAGATTTCATTCAGGATGAGTTAGAATCCAGATTGTTATCCTTGAGGAACACGTCCTTCTGGTTGAGAAATAGAGTTGGGAAATATCATTTGACTACCAGTGTTAGTATGGAAGCCGCGGAACTTCAACAAACAAACCGGAAATCAAATTCTACATCTTGTGCCTTATTAAAGACAATTGAGGAACCTATAATTGGGATAAGAAATTACATCCCAATAGATGGTCTTCTTTTGTGTCCACAAATCATCCTGGAAACCGATGAATTTTCTCTTGATCAGGATGCTGGATTATTTCTGGATTGGAAATCAGAGCCAATTGAACACGACAACTTTCAGGTGGTAGATGACAACAAGGTTAAAATATGTTTGCGTGACTTCAAACCAAACGCGAGGGAAATCCTTGTTGGTAGCTTGAGAAAGCAGCCGTCCTTTGCTGAATCTATTGTATCAATGGTCTGCACTTCGTTATCTCTGTTATGTCTTTTCATTTCGTTTGTTGTGTATTGTACATTTCGACCATTAAGGAGCTTGCCGGGTAAAAACAACATGAATCTCATAGTAACCCTTTTTCTGGCACAGTTGCTGTATCTTGTCGGAGCAGGTCGAACTGAAATAGTAGGCGTCTGTGAAGCTATGGCAATATTTATCCATTACTTTTGGCTCGCAGCGTTCTGTGCGATGAATGTGTGATCGTTTCATATGTTTCGTGTATTCACGAGTATGAGATGCCGGGATGATGAAAGTGATATGAGAAGAAGATTTTTACAGTACAGTATTTATATTTATGGAATGCCGGCTGTGTTAGTGACTATAACCTTAGTAACCTATATAGTGTCTACTGATGGATCAGATATTGGATATGGAGGAGCTATCTGTTTTTTAGCATCTGATATAGCTATAGCTTTAGCATTCGGTATCCCGGTGGCTATAACCATAGTGTCTAATTCGTTATTCTTCATTATAACTGTACGCTCCATTCGAAACTGTCCAAAAATAGAAAAAAGCAAACAGGACGAGCAACATGCCACTGTCTATATAAAGTTATCAACACTTACTGGAATAACATGGACTCTTGGGTTCCTGGCAATAATTACAGGAAATCAGGTTTTATCTTATTTATTTATACTGATCAATGCCAGTCAGGGTATTTTTCTATTCATTTCATTTGTATGTAATGAAAGAATCAAGAAATTAATTTCCCAAAATGGCCGTGAAAGTGGTACTGGAACTACTAAAACGAATGTCAATACCGCAGTAAATTCAGTATCCGCTGATATGGACTGAAGATTGTCTATATACAAAGTATTTGATATCGTCATTTGTGATTTATACGAGTTAAAAAGGTAATGAGAAGATTTCGATGCAATTGACAATTGTTTTAAGGTTTAGAGACATTATTTGGAATTTTAAAATTTTCTTTTCTTAATTGTTATATTAATTTCTGAACTGCTTTTTGGTCTGTGATGTTGTATTGCATAAATAATTATAAAGTTCTATTCTTTACCCTCTTTTGGTAAGAGAAACCGACTAACGCGTGACGTACTAACAAGAAGTTTGTGTTGCTTCCTTCGGAATGAACATCCTTCTGTTCAGACGCGGATTAACCTATAGGCAAACTAGGCAGCTTCCTCTCGGCCCATGGAAAATTCGGCCCATGACAAATTTTGTAACAGTAATTATCAAACAGTTAATAAATTTATGCAGGCCCATCGAAAATTGTCCTACTAGGAGCGTGCTGTGTGAGAATCGACTAAATTGTTTGAGCCTAATGGTGATGAATGCCGATATCGGCTCAAACAATATTTAGTCGATTCTCACACATCGATGGGCCTATTAACTGTTTGATAATTTTTACTATCAAAAAATTTGTCATGGGCCTAGTTTACCTATAGATTGATGCTGATGAGCTGATTGATCTGTTCCTGAGAAAAAAAATCACAAACTTCCTGCCATAAAATTGTAATCACACCATGCTGCACCCTCCTTCTACGGGCAAACAAGTCCAAAATCCATCACTGCTTCTGTAAATCTGGCTCTACCACCTGTTGGTTGACACAAGACAGTTGAACATCCAAAAGTTATGTATGAGCTCTGGCACAATGAACAAGTTTAGTTCTACACTAGATCCATATATAAGTAGCTTGAGATAAAACGGGAAAACCCGAGCAGAAGCCAATGTAATGACAGTTTTCACCACTTGAATATGCCATAGAGAACTATAGAACATGCTTCCTCTGTTTATTGTCTAATCCGCTTCTTGGACAAGGAGAAACGAGATTGAAAAATGAAACAATTGTCTTAAATTTATAGCCATAAAGACAAACTATTAACATTCAATGAAATATAGGTTGATACAAAAATCAAACGTTAATTTACAAATTACAAGAAATTCAATAAATGAAATAAATAAAACTTGAAATAGATATGAAATAATTAATTGGAGAAGCGTATAGACATACGTTCGTAGAATAAGGACCATCAAAAATAAATGTAAGGGTCTTGAAGGGCACATTTCGCCATTGTATATGAAGGGGTATAACGGCATTTAACCATGTGCCCTTATAGGTAGCACAGCAAAGGGTTGGCATAAAACCAGCGTCAACCTGAAGTAAAAACATGACGGAAAATGGACATTTCTTTACATTATTAAATTTCATACATCAGAACGAAACTGTAGAATTTTTAGGAATATATCATGACGACAATATCATGGAATCATTGTTTTCACAAAAGGAACCATTTGTAAAATATGTTGTAGATCAACAACTGCTTTTTGTAGAAATGAGCTCCCAAAGGTACAGGTGGTTTTCTCCGTACAGTAAATGAGTGTTGCTATATTTCCTATGGAATTTGTTCAACTGCATTAGAAATGCATTTACATATATTGAAATATATGGAATCATAAAGTACAAGAAAGCCTACATGCATAGAATATTGGCAAATTACATTAAGCAATATTTGACACACTGTGGAACATTTTGTTTGTAGAAAAAAAAACAATCAAAGGGGCGTACAGTGTAAGCATTTGCTTATATCTTTAAAAACATATTTTCTGTCAATAAGTTATATATAGGAAATCATATCGAGAAGATAAAACTCAATTCTGGTAAGGTAAAACATACATGCGCATACAAATTGAACATTGTAATAGTGTCATATTCACTGGGCATTTTCTTTGTGTTTGCGCTTGTCTTCCAGTGCTTGGTTAAAGTTTCTACCAAAAACAAACTGTGTGTTTTCACCTTCAGGTAATACCATATCAGGGGGGTCATATCCTCGTAAATAACGACATTTTCTCGCTGATTTCCAGGCCCCTTCGTCATCACCAAGGCGATAGAATTCAGTATGCTCATCTGCATCTTTATTACTACCAGATGGGCTGTTTCTTTCATCAAAACTCACTTTTTTCCGATCATCCTTCGCAAATAACAAATCCAAACTAACAGTTGGCACATCAGACAAACCTTTGGCAGCGTTCTTAGGTTTACGACTTGACCTTGGGGATTTACTCTTCTCGATTATAACAAACTGTTTACCGTCTATCATATCGGGGTGTTTCAGAGCATTTTCAGCCTTAGCAGCTGCACTAGGAAATCTCTCTTGAAAACGTTCCATCCATATCTCATCTGATGTTTTGGTCGACCTGGCTTTAGTTTGATTCAGAATTGATTGCATTTGATTCACGACGGAATCACCAGCGTTTGATTCTTGGTTCATGTCAGTCTTAAATCTAGCGATATCGGCAATATCTATAGAATGTCTATGAACCGCTAGTCTGTTTTGTTGTTGATTTTGCACTGATCGTCCTAGTTGACTTGATCTTTCTTTATTAAACAGGGTTACTGGTGGTAATTCGTTTTTAACACTTTTTCTTCCTTTGACTGTAAGATAGAAGTCAGTTAATTAGAGAGTGAATCAATTATACCACAAGACAATAATTATAAGACATTATTCATATCAAATTAGTATTGCAAGTTTGTGAAATGGTAATTTCTTTTTTGATCAATGAAATAATACCCTTTGTCCTGGTCGCTTCAAGAGAGTGTTTCGGAATTTTCGGTAATTGATTTGGGTCTTGAATATATGTAAATAATCTAAGAAGTAGTAGAAATATAAAATAAATATCGCATAATACCCCAAACTATGAATTTCTCTTTCTATTTCTATACATATGTCTTTTCTATATATGGCAGTGTATCAAGAAAAGACGAGGTTTTTAACATTCAAACGCAGATACGTCTGGACACACATAGATTGAAGGTTCAAATACGATTGTTAGCTGTGAAAACTATTACTGATTAGCTTCGCTGAAAAAATTCCCGTTTCTGAAACCTACGTAAGAATGGTCAAACGGGTGGCAAAACTGTTTCTTTAACAATTAATAAGATTTTCATATTCATAGTCAATCATCTATGATGACTTTATGTTGGTAAAATTCAAATAGCGTTGTCTTTAATATTCCAAATTATTCTAAATTGTTATAAATATCCCAAATGCATCAAATAGTATAAATACGTTTTCCATATACAAAGGAATCAACTCACTGACCTTTAGGCAAAGTTTATTTTACTTCTTTCTCTTCACAATAATTTAAATTCTGATACAATGGAACGAAATTAAGCATCCTTACCCAATATAAATCTATTTAAAAGAGTGACTACCTACCTTAATTCGGTCCCTGTATTATCTGATTTTTATTTAGTATCTAATCTTATTTGAATAACAATACTTTTACCTGCATATTATATACTATTGTTTTCATTTGGTAAACACTTAAATCCAAGATTAGCCCATTTAACACCTGTATTGTTTATCAACCTCCATATCAAAGTGTAATTGCATAACCCTATTACAATAAACGGGTACTATATCTTACATTATTGACCACTATCCTAAGAAGGAGATATCGACTGCCGTAATCCCTTTGAAGTGTACCGAATAACTAAACATTCCGGTTTATAGGGTCTTGAAACGTAAAAAGTACGTCGAGGTGAAATGAGGTTACCTATATAGCAGCTATTTTAAAGAAATACTCTTTATATCTTGACAACTTTACACCATTTGACTACTGGTAATTAAAATCGTTCCAAAACCATTGAACTCTTGGAATCCCTTTTTAAGTATCCCATCTTTTATTGAACGGATACTGCTGTAAACGATGGAAAGGAAGGGGGTAGAATTATGGTCTTGATCACTTGCTTACTCTTAATACCTGTTTCCAACATGTTTAACTTGATTGTATTGTGGGTAAATACACAGGTTGCCAATCTTGAACCATGATTTAATACATAACTTTTTCAAATTTTTTCATTTTTGCAAACCTTCTAAGAAATTCCATAGACGGAAAATTTCATAATCGTCAACAATTTTCTATGAGACAAATTTTCGACACCCTCCTCTGTCCATGGAAGGGAACGAGTAAAAACATTCGACAATGACTCACCGTCTTTTACGTCAGCGTCTTGCACTTTCAATTCACGTTTAATATCGGAAACATCTCTTTGATGAAATAAATCCCTGGTATGTCTTTCTTTTTCTAGTTCCTCAATATGTTTCTCTAAAACTCTCTTTGCAACTCCTTGCTTTACCATCATCGACATCTTTCAACAAGTGGCACCAGATTATCTTCAAATTCCCGGAACTACTCTTCTGATATTCGGTAAGTGTTGCTTATCTATCTAGTTTGTTTCTAGTTGGTCGATATCACTTAATTGGGTACACAACACAATATTAGTAGTTTAGTCCACATTGAGTTCTATCCAATAAGAATAGGTTTATAGCGGACAAATACATATACATATTACCTACTTCAAGATCATATCGATTTATCAAAGGTAGTACGAGTATGCGAAATCTTACCTTTGATTCAGCGAGCAAATACACTCGTAACTTGCAGTGGCGGCGCGACTGTTGGTACATGGGGGACCATCTCTATCGCCCCATGAGAGGTTAGCGATTATGACACCTCGACAGAGTTGCCGCGTTTTGCATTCAGCCTCGACATAATTCACCCATTGAGTCAATCTGTCACCTATTTGTACCCATAGTCTCGGGAGGCTGGCGCCGCCATTGGTGACTGGTATTTCTCGAATTTTCCTTACCTATTTACTTCTAGATCGCACGCGGAAAATGGGGAAAGATGACTTATTGATCAAATTTTAACAAATCAATTTTCAAACGGACTACAGCTACAGTATGTCCTCATGGAAAATAAAAGACGTTTATTAGTCTCAAATGCAACTTACAAAACAGCTTGCCATCCTAGATTTGTAGAATGAAAACAATAATGCCATGAAAATGTCATTTAAGGATAGCTTGCCAGACATGGTAACATACGCCCACAGGCAGCTATAGAAAGATGATACACTCTAGTGAATAGCACTTGAATTTTCTCATTTTAAAGATCTTCATGTCATTTTAGTTTGATTTTATTTAATGAATGTGGATATTGATATCCTTGTGGGGGATATTTTGCATTTTTCATCATAACTTTCCTCTTACTTTATATATCCCTAAACCCAGTTTGACTTATTTGCATAATTTGATCCCCACATTTTCACGCTAGCATATACAGTTTCCTCCTGTTACATCCGCTGTACATTCCCTTTCTAACCTTTCTAAAGTTATTTTCATTATGCTCCCTAACTACAACAACCGCTGGCAAGAAGCCAGACACTAATCGTCAACCAAACAAATATCACGTACCCTACAACGGCCCTGTCTTCCATCGACCTCTACCACCTACCAATCGCCGACCACCAACCAACCCATCCAGCTATATCCCACCCCATCGCCGACCTACCTACAAAACAGCCTACCAATCAAGAGGTAACCATCGACCTGACCAACAACAGAAACGACTACCAGCCCACCGACGCCAACAAGTCCCCACTCATAAGGAGGAAGAACCCTTTGTGAAGGTGTTCTTCCAAGTTTTGCAGTGCCTCCATCATTTGGCAATCCTTACCCTTCAACAGCAAGGCCAACCAGCGTTTACCATCAAACGCAAAGTCTCTGAGTTGGATAGTTTTATCCGTCCAGCAATGAAAACATCAGCTGTCGACGCGAATATTAGATCCCTCAATCGGACATGGCTCTCTAAGGTTACGCAGGTCCTGATCGACCATTACCAAACCACACTTCAAGATAAGCTGACCACCATTCGTACCAAGTCTTTATCATCACCTGCCGCCGACCGCATCGTTTCTCATGCCCTGTCCTGGGCCCGTCGCTCCTATGGGAAACGTCTCACTCAAGCTGTAATCACCAAATTCTACCAAACAATCAACGTAACAAAGACCAGAGTAACCATATCTCTACCAACTGAAATGGACACTACACCTGCACCACCTAGAGCCACCACGCTGCCGAACCAAACCCTTAAACGGGCCCGAAGTCCACCTACTCCTAGTCCAGCAGACATAGCAAAACACTCTCGTAGAGAGGGCACTCCCCTTCTCTTTTCACTTTCAGTCTCGTCTTCCCCTTCCACACCATCTGAATCTTCACCACGCGATCCAGGATTCGCCAACCTTTCTTCCTTATGTGCGTTTTTGGACCAGCAAACCACCCCTCAGTCTCCATCCAAGTCGAGACGTGTATCCAGACCTCCCCCCCCCCCTCGAACCAGATCCCAGTCCGTTCCCAATGCTACAATTCTATCAAGTACCAATCACACCGTCGACGACCATTATATCCGCTACCAAACCGTATTATCACCAAACCAAGGACAAATCATTATGGAAGCTACCTGCTCTAAAGAAATCTACCTTAATAATTGGATCATCTAACCTGAATCGAATAACCAAAACCAGTTCAGACACTGAGATACACTTTTACCCCGGTGCCCAAATCTATCACATACAGTCAATCCTGGAATCATACGACCATGATCCCAAACCTACTACCATTATTCTTCATGTAGGCCTCAACAACCGTGATCAGCTACCAAAGACCTCCTTTAACCAAGCCCAGAAATTAATCGCCACAGCCAACAAAACCTTCCCAAACTCCAAGATCCTCTTCAAATGTATACCCATTTCAAATAAAATCTCGAAGAAAGCACAACAGAACCTCAGCACTCTCAACAACATGATGATGGAGTCCAGTATCAACAGCGCAACAATCTTACCACCCTACGAAGAAGAATTCGAACCAGTTGATAATCTTCATTGGTCTCCAGAAACAGCAAACAGCATTTATTTGTTTTGGATACACCAGCTTCAAGCATCGAGTCTTTAAACTAATTACTGGGGATAAAAATACTGAGAGGCCACCGCTAGGCCAAACTGTAGTTAACTTGAGCCGCAAAATTCTCACACCCCTTCAGCATTCAATCTTAGACCGTGGACTTAAATTTATTCCCACACCAAAGATAGCTAACTTGAATTATCTCCGACCATCCATTGAACGATTTCAACGAAATCTTAGCTGCACATATTTTTTTCGAAACCACCCCCCACGTGGTGCTAGAACAATGTTTATTCCTAAATCCACGTGGACACCCCCTCAGGCCGCCATCCATCCTGAAATATTGAAAGCATTTGCGAGTATAAATAGCCAAATAGTGAACCTTTCCATAACACACGAAAAGCCTAATCTCACACGAGTGGAACGTGAAGCGTTAAACTTACTGAAGAAAGACGATAGCATTGTTATTAAAAAGAGTGACAAAGGTTCATGTTGTGTCATTCTGAATAGGGAGGATTACGTTTCAGAAGCAGAGAATCAACTGAATAATCCTAAACATTATGCCATTTTACCGAAACCAATTTTCAAAGAAACTGCTAACATGATTAACAATATTCTTGCCGATTTAGTCAAAACTAGTTATCTCAAACAGAAACAATATGACTATCTGTTTGCCAAACCTGATTGTCGCGAGAGACATTTGTACACTTTGCCTAAAATCCATAAGAATCCAACCAAGGAGTTGGATTATATCTGACTGTGGTAGTGAGTCATATGCAGTGTCAGAATACATTGATCATTCCTTACTACCTCTAGCATGTCAACATCGCGCCTACCTTAAAGACACAACCGATTTTGTCAATAAAATAAAAAATCTTCGAGTTCCCTCTAATGCTATTTTAATTTCTATCGACGTTTCTTCTATGTATATCAATATCGATAACACTACTGGTTTAACGGCAGTTCGTAAAGCTTTTAATAGAAACCCAGATCCAAACAGACCCGACGATGCAATTCTACAGCTTTTAGAAATTTGTCTTAGTCGAAACGATTTCACATTTAATGGTAAAACATATTTACAAACTTCAGGGACAGCAGTGGGCAAACGATTCGCCCCTTCGTACGCAACCCTTTTCATGGCAGAGTGGGAACGTGAGGTGTTGCCCCTCTGTCCATTTGACCCACTTTTTTACGGACGCTTTTTGGACATATGCTATCGAACTGTTTTGGGAATTCTTTGAAATTCTCAACAACCACCATCCTTCTATCAAACTAACCGCAAACGTGAGTGAAAAAAGCATAGACTTTCTCGATACCACAGTCTTTAAGGGAGATTCCATAGCAGAAACAAATAAACTGGATATTAAAGTGTATTTCAAAGAAACTGATACTCATCAACTCTTGCACAAGAGCTCCTTTCACCCAAAACATACCTTTTTCTGGTATAATTAAGTCACAAGTTTTACGATTTCATCGAATTTGTACAAGATCTTCTGATTTCAACCATTACGATTGTTTTCTCAAAATTGAAAGAGCGTGGATACTCTAAACGATTTTTACGAAACATAAAAAATTCCACCTTATCACAGATAGCAGCTAAAAATAGACTTTATGCCGAAGTACCTCCAGGTTTAAGAAGTGCTCCATGTTGGTCCAGTAGATGCAAGCCCATTGGATTGAGACATTGAATACAGCAAGACCTATAGGACTAAATATTCATCATAATGTAGGCATAGCACCCTTTTTGTCCCGTTTAGTACAACCAGCAATCGAGCAAGCAAGATAGTTCATGCCCACTATAAGAGCGTTCAAGAAAAATTCCCCAAGTCTATAAGCAGAAAATGATAGTTGCATATTCAAAAAATAAGAATTTAAATGATAATATTGTTCATAGTAAACTAAAAACAATCAGTACATAACAGATACTATACTTCTCGCCCATTGGGTGAGTTATTTTTTCTAATTTCAGATCAGAATAAGAACAGAAGAAAACCCAATTTCAAGACCCTTAATCCTAATTTCTTAATAAAGTGTCTGCTCCACCCTTGGCCTGTTTATAGTATTCCAATATGATTATATTCTTATACTGACATAGTGATCTATGTTTATAGTATTTCAATATGATTATATTCTTATACTGACATAGTGATCTATGTTTATAGTATTTCAAGATGATTATATTTTTATACTGACATAATGATCTATGTTTATAGTATTCCAAGATGATTATATTCTTATACTGACATAGTGCTCTATGTTTATAGTATTTAAAAATGATTATATTCTTATATTGGCATAGTGAGCTATGTTTATGGTATTCCAAGATGATTATATTTTTATATTGGCATAGTGATCTATGTTAAAGTTAAAGAAATGCTGGAAAAAATTAAAAATGAAGGCAAAAAAAATCTGTAGCGATGGAAAAAAAAAGAGAGAGATAGTATTCCAAGATGATTATATTCTTATACTGACATAGTGATCTATGTTTACAGTATTTCAAGATGATTATATTTTTATACTGACATAGTGATCTATGTTTTTAGTATTCCAATATGATTATATTCTTATACTGACATAGTGATCTATGTTTATAGTATTCCAATATGATTATATTTTTATAGTGACATAGTGATCTATGTTTATAGTATTCCAATATGATTATATTTTTATAGTGGCATAGTGAGCTATGTCTATAGTATTCCAATATGATTATATTCTTATACTGACATAGTGATCTATGTTTACAGTATTTCAAGATGATTATATTCTTATACTGACATAGTGATCTATGTTTATAGTATTCCAATATGATTATATTCTTATACTGACATAGTGATCTATGTTTATAGTATTCCAATATGATTATATTCTTATACTGACATAGTGATCTATGTCTATAGTATTTCAAGATGATTATATTCTTATACTGACATAGTGATCTATGTTTATAGTATTCCAATATGATTATATTCTTATACTGACATAGTGAGCTATGTTTATAGTATTCCAATATGATTATATTCTTATACTGACATAATGATCTATGTTTATAGTATTCCAATATGATTATATTCTTATACTGACATAGTGATCTATGTTTACAGTATTTCAAGATGATTATATTCTTATACTGACATAGTGATCTATGTTTATAGTATTCCAATATGATTATATTCTTATACTGACATAATGATCTATGTCTATAGTATTTCAAGATGATTATATTCTTATACTGGCATAGTGATCTATGTTTATAGTATTTAAAGATGATTATATTCTTATACTGGCATAGTGATCTATGTCTATAGTATTTCAAGATGATTATATTCTTATACTGACATAGTGATCTATGTTTATAGTATTCCAATATGATTATATTCTTATACTGACATAATGATCTATGTCTATAGTATTCCAATATGATTATATTCTTATACTGACATAGTGATCTATGTTTACAGTATTCCAATATGATTATATTCTTATACTGACAGTGATCTATGTTTATAGTATTTTAAGATGATTATATTCTTATACTGACAGTGATCTATGTTTATAGTATTTTAAGATGATTATATTCTTATACTGTCATAGTGATATACGTTTACAGTATTCCAATATGATTATATTCTTATACTGACAGTGATCTATGTTTATAGTATTTCAAGATGATTATATTCTTATACTGACAGTGACCTATGTCTATAGTATTCCAATATGATTATATTCTTATACTGACAGTGATCTATGTCTATAGTATTTCAAGATGATTATATTCTTATACTGACATAGTGATCTATGTTTACAGTATTCCAATATGATTATATTCTTATACTGACAGTGATCTATGTTTATAGTATTTCAAGATGATTATATTCTTATACTGACAGTGATCTATGTCTATAGTATTCCAATATGATTATATTCTTATACTGACATAGTGATCTATGTTTATAGTATTTCAAGATGATTATATTCTTATACTGACATAGTGAGCTATGTTTATAGTATTCCAATATGATTATATTCTTATACTGACAGTGATCTATGTCTATAGTATTTCAAGATGATTATATTCTTATACTGACATAGTGATCTATGTTTACAGTATTCCAATATGATTATATTCTTATACTGACAGTGATCTATGTTTATAGTATTTTAAGATGATTATATTCTTATACTGACAGTGATCTATGTTTATAGTATTTTAAGATGATTATATTCTTATACTGTAATAGTGATATATGTTTACACTATTCCAATATGATTATATTCTTATACTGACAGTGATCTATGTTTATAGTATTTCAAGATGATTATATTCTTATACTGACAGTGATCTATGTCTATAGTATTCCAATATGATTATATTCTTATACTGACATAGTGATCTATGTTTATAGTATTTTAAGATGATTATATTCTTATACTGACATAGTGATCTATGTTTATAGTATTTTAAGATGAGTATATTCTTATACTGACATAGTGATCTATGTTTATAGTATTTTAAGATGATTATATTCTTATACTGACATAGTGATCTATGTTTATAGTATTTTAAGATGATTATATTCTTATACTGACAGTGATCTATGTTTATAGTATTTCAAGATGATTATATTCTTATACTGACAGTGAGCTATGTCTATAGTATTCCAATATGATTATATTCTTATACTGTCATAGTGATATACGTTTACAGTATTCCAATATGATTATATTCTTATACTGACAGTGATCTATGTTTATAGTATTTCAAGATGATTATATTCTTATACTGACATAATGAGCTATGTCTATAGTATTCCAATATGATTATATTCTTATACTGACATAGTGATCTATGTCTATAGTATTTCAAGATGATTATATTCTTATACTGACATAATGATCTATGTTTATAGTATTTCAAGATGATTATATTCTTATACTGACATAGTGATCTATATTTACTGTTTGATAATTACTGTTACAAAATTTGTCATGGGCCGAATTTTCCATGGGCCGAGAGGAAGCTGCCTAGTTTGCCTATAGGTTAATCCGTGTCTGAACAGAAGGATGTTCATTCCGAAGGAAACAACACTAACTTCTTGTTAGTACGTCACGCGTTAGTCGGTTTCTCTTACCAAAATAGGGTAAAGGATAGAACTTTATAATTATTTATGCAATACAACATCACAGACCAAAAAGCAGTTCAGAAATTAATATAACAATTATACTTATAAGAAAATTTTAAAATTCCAAATAATGTCTCTAAACCTTAAAACAATTGTCAATTGCATCGAAATCTTCTCATTACCTTTTTAACTCGTATAAATCACAAATGACGATATCAAATACTTTGTATATAGACAATCTTCAGTCCATATCAGCGGATACTGAATTTACTGCGGTATTGACATTTGTTTTAGTAGTTCCAGTACCACTTTCACGGCCATTTTGGGAAATTAATTTCTTGATTCTTTCATTACATACAAATGAAATGAATAGAAAAATACCCTGACTGGCATTGATCAGTATAAATAAATAAGATAAAACCTGATTTCCTGTAATTATTGCCAGGAACCCAAGAGTCCATGTTATTCCAGTAAGTGTTGATAACTTTATATAGACAGTGGCATGTTGCTCGTCCTGTTTGCTTTTTTCTATTTTTGGACAGTTTCGAATGGAGCGTACAGTTATAATGAAGAATAACGAATTCGACACAATGGTTATAGCCACCGGGATACCGAATGCTAAAGCTATAGCTATATCAGATGCTAAAAAACAGATAGCTCCTCCATATCCAATATCTGATCCATCAGTAGACACTATATAGGTTACTAAGGTTATAGTCACTAACACAGCCGGCATTCCATAAATATAAATACTGTACTGTAAAAATCTTCTTCTCATATCACTTTCATCATCCCGGCATCTCATACTCGTGAATACACGAAACATATGAAACGAACACACATTCATCGCACAGAACGCTGCGAGCCAAAAGTAATGGATAAATATTGCCATAGCTTCACAGACGCCTACTATTTCAGTTCGACCTGCTCCGACAAGATACAGCAACTGTGCCAGAAAAAGGGTTACTATGAGATTCATGTTGTTTTTACCCGGCAAGCTCCTTAATGGTCGAAATGTACAATACACAACAAACGAAATGAAAAGACATAACAGAGATAACGAAGTGCAGACCATTGATACAATAGATTCAGCAAAGGACGGCTGCTTTCTCAAGCTACCATCAAGGATTTCTCTCGCGTTTGGTTTGAAGTCACGCAAACATATTTTAACCTTGTTGTCATCTACCACCTGAAAGTTGTCATGTTCAATTGGCTCTGATTTCCAATCCAGAAATAATCCAGCATCCTGATCAACAGAGAATTCATCGGTTTCCAGAATGATTTGTGGACAAAGAAGAAGTCCATCTATTAGGGTGTAATTTCCTTTAAAAGAATAAGATTCTGTCCTTTCAATCCTACAAGATGTAGAATTTGATTTCCGGTTTGTTTGTTGAAGTACCGCGGCTTCCATACTAACACTGGTAGTCAAATGATATTTCCCAACTCTATTTCTCAACCAGAAGGACGTGTTCCTCAAGGATAACAATCTGGATTCTAAGTCATCCTGAATGAAATCTCGAGTAGTAACGAAAGTGGCGGAAAATAAGATCTGTTTAACGAAGTCTGAACAATTACCATACTGCCCTTTTCTTTTGTAAGAAAACACTTGTTTGAACCATTCCACGTCATTCTTGTGTGGAAATAGATACTGTCTAAACTCGTGTGGCAAGGTTAATAAAAGACTTTCAGGCCCGGATATTGATATCTCTTCGTCTAAATTGAGACTCAAATATAATTTATAAGTAGCACCCATGACTTTTTCGAACATTGGTCGACACGTTCCATTGTTTAATTCACGACCAAACGAACAGGTAATCTGTCGACATATTTTCTGAAAGAAAGAAATAAGGAACGTCCATTATTTATTGTACGTATCAACGTAAATTACATAATACATAGATGAGTAGACAATGGATACCGACATCAAACTGAAGGGAAGCTGGGGGAGGCTTGTTAACAGTCTTTATATTGAGGAATCTGATTGTATTCGCTGGCCAAATCGTTGCATTCCATGATATAAGCAAAGAGACTAAAGCCGTGGTGGCGCTAGCGCTAGCGGGAAAGCGCCATATGAAAGGGTCTATGTATCAACTGTCAGTACAGTTGGACGGAATAACTATCCAAATACGAGTGCACATGCACAAAACATGTTATTACCATTCCTCACTTTGTATTTCGCAGAGTATTTTACTCAAACCTATTCCTGGTGAAGTAATTCTAATTGCATTTCCTTGAACTACTTCGTATTGGATTCAATAATTACAGTTGATCTAAGGTTGAATGGCGGACAAAAGTTCTCAAGTTCAGAAATAGATCATAAAGGTTGAGAAGCACAGGACTATAGAGACTAGGCGATCTTTTTTAGAACAGGTTAAACATAACAATTCACCATTCATCCAAATATGAAACTATTATCAACTATAAAATAGCAGGTACACGATGGCAGCAAATAATGTGCCCGTTTTAGAGATTTAAAAAAAAAATTAAACAATTTGGTATTTTACTACATAGGAGAATGTTGCAGCAAACTGTCAACCTGAAAAAAGACTGGTCACTTACCTTGCCTGGATCATATATAGTTTGAGGTGGACACTGTGATTTAATCACTTCATCTTTATCATGTAACAGATCACTGAAATCTAATAGAGCTGTAAAAGATGGTGGATATACTAAAGCTCTTGTTAGACATGATGGCAAAGAAAGCACTTGGACATTACAATGGAAACAAAATGGATTCCTGTACGACTGATTTTTATCCACTACGATGTCCTGGTATGTCAGGCACGCTGCATTTATAAACCTGTCCTGTTCAGGCCACAAACCAGTGACATTACACTTTGATATTGTATTTTTGTCTGGAGACCTACATTTTCTTTCTGGCATACCCTCTGGTGCTTGGAACTTTACTGTACATGTTTCGTCATTAATGACCTTCTCAATAAGCTCAGATGTAGAATCAAAGTCGTTAGGACTCGAATAGTCACATTTTACTGTTATCTGCCATGGTCGAATGTTGATGATATTATGGCAAGCAGCGCAATGTTTATTTCTGAAAGTTGTAGAGTTGTCGGTAGAGGAAACTGGTAAAGTTATAGAATTGTAACAGTTAAATTGAAGATTGGAATCCTCATGGGGACAACTTACTATCATGGCATATTTATCTTCAATATCTTTTCTTGTATTGAAAATGTCTGATGGATACAAACTTTCTAATAGTGAACTCACACATTCATATCCAATTTTCGGTGGATCGGATAGACGAAAAGCAAAATCTTTATCTGGACAACAATCACCTATCTCAAAACAAGGTTCATCACAAGCACAATCTTCACAAAAATTGCATTTTGTTTCTTCTCTGTCGTTACAAACTCGACTTTTACCACAATACTTAATATGCTCCGATAAAACCTCTTCGTAAAAACCTATAGCTACAGTTGTAGGATTCAATGCAATCAGGATTATCAGCTTAAGTAACATACCTTAAATGTATAATTGAAATTCATTAAATGGTCAAATGATATGGTTGTTGATAAATCACCAAGGATATGGGAAATTAATTAGCCCCTCACCTCGTTTATGTATTTGACAATCTGTCTCGGTGCTTTTCGAGCAATAGAAAATATAATCATCAAACAATAAGCAGAAAATTCTAAAACTAAAGCTAAACGTTTCAGCGATGTAAAATATGATAACTTACTGTTTTTATGTTGAATCTCTCTTATCAATAAAACTTGTAAGGTTAGTAAGGATTGTTAAAATATACTCGTAATACCACCTTTTATATAGCATTTTCTTTCCTCATTCATATTCATGAATACCACACTTCTCGACCAATCAAAATTAAAGACTAGGATATGCGACTGATAGCCAAATGTTGTTATGTTGACGACAATTTATTCTTAATGATTTTAATATGCATAGGCCTTCAATTGAAAAACTTTTGGATCGATTTTTAAAATCGATTTTTGCATACACACCGGAGTCACAATATAGCATTAAATTCATAAGTTAGTGTCAGATTTATCTACCAATTTATGGACTATTTCTAGGTCGCAATATTACTGTTATTTGGCAAATCATGTAAAAAGTCTCGCCCAAGAAGACAACGAAATTCACCATTCATTACCCGAGACAGATTAAGCTTTATAGAAACTGCCGAGGATTGCCGCATAGGAATCGGCGATCACTTGATCAAAGTCGCTTTTTCCAATTTTTCGAAATGGGCGGTGGCACGTTTCTCAAAAAATAGCGCTACTTTGAAGATTAATTGTAAATATTTTATAATCTGTGTCTTTGTTTCCTTAGCAATGTTTGTATTAGATATTCTTATCATTGTATTTTATGTTGTCAATGACCTATCCTATGCATATATTATTGTTATGTATATATAAATAATATATATCTTTTTAATCAAAATGTGACGGTATTCCGATATTGTTTTACAACGAAGAGTAGGCATATATTATGTAACGTATTCATATTCGTATTCACCTGGGATATTATGTATTATTTTCGTTACTATTTGCTCATAATACCGCTCTTTTTGCAAATTTGGCTGTTTTGTTACAAAACTTAAATATATACTACGTCTTTTGCCAAAAATGGAAATAAGAAATTAACACAGACAAAACTAAAGTTGTAATATTCGTAAGGGGTCGTTTAACTACCAATTCCTGTTTTTCTATATAGCGGATAACCAATTAGAAATTGTCAAGGAATATTTCTATCTGGGAATTATTCTGCCCGATAATGGAAAATATAAACACACGAAAAAAAAAATATCTGATATCTATTATTAATCGTTTAATTTCACAATACCTATCAAATGTAAGTTATACCATTCATTGATCTGTACAGTGGTAAATTTTTTCCAGGAGAAAATATTGAGGTCGAAGAAAAGGATTTCATGCGATACATTATCCATGTTGGTAAAAACACTTCTTTCGTGTTTATGTTAGGCGATTTGGGGTTTTACCTACTTACAATCTTGAGAAAGATACGCATAATTAACAAATGGATGAGAATGCTAAAATCACAAAATGTATTGGTGAAGCAAACCTACTCGGTTTTATTGGAAGAAATTAATACTAGTAAGCGTTATTTGGCTTGGAATGTCAAAACCATGTTTGACAATTTAGGTCTCTCCAATATTTGGGGTTTTACCTACTTACAATCTTGAGAAAGATACGCATAATTAACAAATGGATGAGAATGCTAAAATCACAAAATGTATTGGTGAAGCAAACCTACTCGGTTTTATTGGAAGAAATTAATACTAGTAAGCGTTATTTGGCTTGGAATGTCAAAACCATGTTTGACAATTTAGGTCTCTCCAATTTATGGTATAACCAAAATTCGCTCAATTCGCGAAATACAGAGACCATTATCAATTGTAATAAATATATATTCATCCAAGAATAGTTTTTTGTATTAAGTAATTGTAGTAAACTCAGTTTTTTTATAAACATACTTTTGTACTAGATTCATACCTTTTAATCCATTAGAACAAAATATAATGTATCGAGCAATAATATCTCCATTTAGTAGTGGTACTGTTGAAACTCGCGATTTAAACTGGTCAATATATCAATACGGTACGTAAAAAAAGACTATGAATATAATGCTGCAGGATGAATTTTATTGACGATGAATACCACTTCCTGCTTTGTTGTCGAGCTTACGTGTTTTTACGTCGAAAATACTTGCATCGCAGATGGTCAAATACCTTCTCCAAGCAACCGAAATAAGGAAATATACGCGTGAATCCATTTCCGTGACCTTATGGGTATCAATTACACGCACGTACGCACATGTTTATATGTCTATATGCGTTTGTGTGTTTGTATTTTCTCTCATTATTTTGGTTGTAATTCGATTCACATTGATCGTTTTAAATCTGTTAATTCATCCATGTATCTAAAGGCTCAAGTGATTTGCTCTGCCAGTAATAAACTACAATATTACAAGAAACTATTCTCGTATTGAAGGTTATAGTGATTACTTTAGATGTAGATTTAGTGGTAGGGAGAAGGGAGGTTAGAGTCTCTAAAATATACAGGTCTAGGATGGAACATATACTTCATTTAGATA